GCAATAAAGTTCTGTTATATAGCTCGGACAATTATTTTCATCTTTGATGCGCCTAAATATTAAACTAGTCCTTTTAAGCTTTAATTCTTCCTAAAGTGGCAGCCAATCGAGTCGTCTAAAAAGCATCTCGCTTCTTTCACCGATATCAGCATCCAAGATTACTCGAGCTGCTCGCTTTTGCAGCTTGGATACGAGGTTGACGTTCTCTTTTGACGCAGTGCACCATGCACATGAGCCATTCAACATTATTGGCTTGATCAAGGCGTTGAAATATAGCTTACGCTCAGCTAGAGGCAGGTTACGCTTAATCTTCTTCAGCACCGCAATACATTGTGACACTTTTTTAAAAATGTCATCTATGTGTTAAGTAAAACTCAAGCGATTGTCTAATTTTACTCCAAGTAGTTTCTGTGAAAGTTATTTGCTCAATCTCGCTACCGTTGCATGATAATTTAAGATTCATGTCTGGAGCTTTCTTTTCCAGTCGTTTGCCAGATAGTACCTCCTACACAAGAAACTTCCCAAAATCAAACTATGTAACAACGCCACCTTTAGCTTTCCGCTTCGCTTTCTAACGCAAGGTCCAGATTTACATAAAAAAAAAACAAACAAACAAACAACAATGTTGAAGGGTTCAACTGATAAATTGAAGGTACGTAATTAGCAGCGTTGCGGGATAAAAGTGTTCGCTACAAACAAAGGAGAATGCGGCCAGGTGTTAGAAAGAGGAGTTTGTATCATCGACATTCAATTAGTGCGTTTACGATGCTGTTCGCAGGAGACTACGTGAAAGGCGATAGCAAACCGTCCAATTTGCTGGCTGTTTACAAGAATACCGTCTACGATTATCGCTTAAGCCGCTCGAGTAAGAACCGAAACACTTAAACCAACTGTGAACAGGCAAGCACGGTTAGGAAGTCTTCAAGTGTCTCTCACAAATATTTTTTCTCTCTCTCTCTTTTTTTTTTTTTTCACAGGGAGCAAAACGTGACAAAACAGACAAAATCGATTGAAGGCTTGATCTTGTACATATTGATATCATATGGCTTACAGCATGAAGTCCAAATTCCAAATGGCATACACTAGCTGGGGGCGGAATTCTGTCTAAATTGTCTCAGGCCCTGCAAGAAAATCTTCTTGGTCTGATCGATCATCTCTTGGTAAAATTTTAAGTCCTCTTCTTTGGCTTTCAGCGTGGAACTGAGTGCTTCTTTAAGCGCGTCGTTTTCGTCTGTCTGGATGGCCAGCCTACACAAGAAATCAAAAGGATCGTGTTAGTTTAAAATAAGGATTTCCCGGTATGGCAGTGGCCCAAGATGACCCCTACCACAAAGAATTCAGAGTGGTATAAATTTATGAAGCTTTCTCCTAGTTTTAGGAAATAAAAATATAAATGTCGACTATCGTATAGCATCGAGGTACGGCCCCAAAAACAGAGCCATTACAATGAAAGATTCCTAACTGAAAGCAACCCTTAATAAAACGCAAGGTCGATCACCAGTTTCAATCTGTTAAAAGTACATCAACAGCGCTCAGTATCAAATTTTGAAAAGCTTTTGGTGTTTGCCCTTCATCAGAGCGTATTGCAACGTACACGATAACCTCTTTCAAAACCGACCACTTTGTGTATTTATAAAGTCGTTGGCACACAAGGAATTGACAATAATCGGCCAAGTGGGATATTTACGTAATTTCCTACCTAGTTGCAAGCTCGTCCAAGTCTTCAGGCTTTCCTTGTCGTTCCTGTCCTGTGCCCACAGACCCATATCCTTTGCCTCGCCCTTTAGCCACGCCCTGTCCCGACTGGACTCTACTCAGCTGCTTCTCCACGTGAACGACTTGACGTCGTTCTTGTTGCCATTTGTTGATTGCCTCCAACTCACTGTTATTAGCGTCATCGACTCTGAAATATTACACAAATTTATATTCTCCATCAAAAAAAATTGATAGCTTAAGTAATTTTCAATTATATGAGACCTCAACCATCTATACAGCGAAATTAACATAAGAAAACGAAACAAAAAATTAAGAACTAACAACTGACGGAATAAAAAGCTAAAAGAGAAAAGAGTTCTAGCTGCGGCCGCACGAAGGCCTTCTGGAACTAGTTGCAAGCTAAATCACTGACCCTTGGGTAAGTTATATTAGGCTCTCCGTCGTACACCAATTTGTCACCTCCAATCCGTTAAGTCTCCAAAGCACTGCATCCAAAGCACTGCACACCCCCCCCCCCCGATCCATTCACACTGTCAAAGTTAACTGTGTATAGATTACCTTTTCTGCAGGAGGGTAACCAGTTCTAGGAGACGATCTCGCTCAACTTCAGCCGCCTGACACAAGGACTTGTTCTCATGTACTTGAGATTTTAATAATTGGATCTCGTCACTGATATAATCAAAATTGAACAGAAATCAATGGGCTGTTTCTCTCAAAAAACAAATGGCTAAACTGTGTTATAAGAGAGCCACTGGTTGAGGCAGTTTCCCTGTTGCGGACAAAACAAGATTTCTTAAGACACAAAAAGGAAACACTGTGTTGCCGAGTTAGAATTTTGTGAAACATCGTTTCTTGTTTGTCAGTCTGGTGTTTATCCTTTTTTTTTTTCATCCAGCCTTTTTCTCTTATTTTCTTTCATGCATAAAGTAATCAGCAGCACCACTTTTTTACATACCTGCCTCCAACACTGTTCCGGCGTCCCCTGCTTCCACGTCCACCACTTGGTGGTGTGGGCGGCAGCTGGTTTCCATGCGCTGAATTCCTTCCCGGCGTGCCGTTTATTCTTCCTCGTGACATCACGTGTCGTCTAACCGGACTACCGGGAACAGAGTAACCCTGGGTCCTTCCAGGTCCTTCGGGATGATGCTGTGATGGATTTCCTTGTCTGTTATGCGACATGTAACTGTTATTTTGAAGTCCTACGTGTTCGGCCCTCTCCGCATGGGGTCCTCCCTCCACAAAGCCGTTTACCAGTAATGGTCCTTTTAAGACCTGCTCCTCTTGAGGGGCAGTATTATTATTCAGCCTTTCTTCATTTGTCGGTAAGTCCTCCGTACCACACGCTACAGATTTTGTCTCACGCGCGCTAAGCTCCTTATATCTTTCGTTAGTGTTTTGCAGTGCTACTCTCGCGTTACTGAGTTCTTCTTCAATCCGCTGTATCCGTCCGTCTCGCTCTTGGCAGGCCAATTTAAGGTGCTCTATTTGTGCCTTGTCTTCTGAATTGTTCACTGGTTTAGGCGATGAGGAAGTGTCCTTTTTAGTTGCTGCACTTTTCAGCTGTTGCTGCTCCCTCTAAAACAAAAGATCTCACTCTAGTTATTTTCATTCCAAGAAAACACCGCGGTTAAATCATCCTACATGAAACACTTCAGTTGCAACTCAGAAGCAATCTCCACCCACAATGTTAAAGGAAAGTGCCCTCTTCTAATCCCTCTAATGGTTGCTTGATTCCATTTTGAAAGGTGCAGGTTACAAACCTAAACAGCTCACTGTGATGTGATCTTATACCAGACATTTCACTCTCACAGTGTCTCCCTCCACCATGGAATACATTGTACAGCCATTCAACTGTCAAGCAAATTCGGAGAAATACATGCATTTACTGGGGTTTCGTGCGATGGACTATTAAGCCATGCAGCGGAACGAAAAAACTCCTTACCATGTTACGCGACAGAAATCGATTGTCTCCAGCAGTTATGAGATACGGGGCTCGCGAGGCTCAACCCCGTTTCTAAAACACTTTCACGCAGTTCTTTCCACGCATAATCAATAATGCGCCTCCGCTTACCAAGTAAGTAAACGTAGCTTGACCGCACAATCAACCTTCGCCGCACACTTACACAGTAGGTACCATAACCACAACGACAACCAACAAACACAACAAAAAGCTAAGGATTCAACATTTGAACATACCATAAGAGCAGCAATAAGTTCATCATCGTGAGCTCCTTTCTCCAGTAGGGTTTGCACTTGAGCCTTCAATCCCTTCAGTTCACTAGCTAGCACCTTATTGCGCGCTTTGGCGGCGTCGTGTTTTTGTTGTAACTTGGTGTGCTCTTGGTCCAAACTCTCTAGCTCTGCTTGAGTTTTCTAAAGAAACCAATCAACAACCATGCACAGACAGGTTATTCCCAACCATTCGTGACCATTGTTATGGCATTCTCGCCTTTTAACGCGTGTACCTGGGATCCAGATTTCACTAGGAAGGGTATATTATGAGAGAAAGTTAGAGGGCAGGGTTTTAGGGAAATACTCAGAAAGTGAATATCAAGGGAAGCTCAAGTTAACGCTTAATGAAGAACAAAGTTTGTACAGTTATTTCCTTTCAGGAGAATTGAGCCCTTTCATGTATGGACAATGATAAAACTGCGAACATGTGAGTGACCTATTTTTGCTACCATGTAGTTGTACTATTTTTGAAACACCATTAAATAAATAACCACAGTTACTGCGCTTTCCAAAGCTAAATAATGACGCCGGCCTGCGCACGCCCACCTTTCACAACAATATTTGATGCACTTCTCACCTCTTGTGCCTCCTTACGATCTTTCTCGATCTTTTTCAACACAGAGCGGTGTTTCTCGTCATATTGGGACGGAGCACTGGAGGGTGACATCATGGCTGATCTAAGAAAGATGTTGTTTGATGTAACTGAGCCACCACGAGCAACCTGATTCAACTGTCCCTTCAACTCTGTAACCTGTGAAGTTGAATATAAGACTGTTACAGCTTTCAGTACGCTTGCAGCTATGGGAACGCCTGAACTTAAGAAGGCCTTTAAAACAAAATCATGATGAAATATATTTCCCTAGTTGTTCACTGGAAAGCCGTCCAAACCTCTTTGAAGGTATTTCCATCATCAAAATGTATGACCTCCGTTTAAAATCAAAAGTACGGTTGATAAGTTGTAAAACCTTAGTTACGCGTTTTTGTTTTTGTCGCTTCCTTCCTAATTTAGGACAACTGAGTATACGTCATTTTATCACGTGATAACCCCTATGAAGCTACTCAATTCTCATGTTTCATCATACACGTACGTAAAATTAACCTAAAGAGATCAAAGTTTTTGGAAATGAGTGTCATTTCTTGTCCCTCTCTTTAGTACGAAAACGTTTTTTTTGGGGTCCTGGCCCATGGACTAAAATTATACCTTATTTTGTAAAGAAGTGATCTGCTGTTGTCGTCCTCTCCAACCACTGGAGTCATTCAACAGTGTAGCGATGTTGAAACCATCCCCAACCTCCTTTGCAAGGACCTTAAGTGAGTAAAAAGTTAAATAAATGAATACGCCAGCATTTAATGCAACTACACGAGATCGTGTGGTCGTATAAAATCTGCAGATGATCAACCCTAATAAGTAAGTGTTCTGACCTTATGTGCAACCTTTAAATCTTTTTTGAGTTTGTCACATTGGTTCCTAAATTCTGCCACTTTATTGTTTGCTTGGCTCAATTTGTCCTGCAGAGAAGCAACTTCAGAGCTATCCTACAAAACAAAAGAATGTATGGTTACCATCACATGTTACATGGTGCTGGATAAATATATTTCATTTTCTTATACTGTCTATCACTTGCTGTGGGATATTAAGATGGAACCCTGCTAACTCGAACTCAATTCACTCTACAGCGGCCAATTTACAATTTCAATTTAAAAGATATAACCATTACCTTGTTACCCCCACCAACCCAGCACCACAGTTTCTTTAGAAACTTTATAACTCTGAAATCCCCTGATACCTCGAACAAGTTCTGATTTCCCTTGACAAATCTTTTCAGTCATTTCATATCAGCTAACTCGCACCCCCACCCCCACCCCCTCCTTCCCACTCAACCATTTTTTGTCTCCCTTGTGAGTTTGAGTTAGCAGGTTTCTACTGTATCTTGAAGGAAAACTGAATTTCCCCAATAATTATTAACTATTACACTGGGCTCTACATCTTTATGTAGTCAGGTCACTAGAAGTTGACCAGGGCTGGTGTGTGAGTTCAAAAATTTGTACAAGTATGACCAGGTAAGCACCACTACCTTTTCTGAATCTGATGACTTTGATTTACTCTTTTGCTCTTCGCCAGGCTGTTTTGAGTTACTCTGCAAAATTCCTGAGGATACCATCTGACAAACAAGGCAAAGAAAATTGTCGATCAGTGCAATAGAAGGTGACCATTAAAATATTTTCCACTGATTTACATTTGATAACTTTATAAGTAGCATTTTTTTTTTTTTACACTACCGGTAGATGTCTAATCAAGGCTTTCTGCAAATGTCAGCATGTATAAAAGAAAAAAAAATGTGTCTGCTAGAGTTTCCTTTTTTGCAAGAGTGTATATAACTACAAAACTAACAACTCTCATTCTACTATATTAATGCAATGTACAATACTTCTCTTTCCATCTCTCTCATCTTCTTCATCAGTTGCAGTACTTTGTTACGTTCACTTTCCAAATCAGCCATCAGTTCTCTGTTCTTCTTTGACAGTTCCATGATTCTACCAGCAGCAGTGTCAGCTGCCACCCCTGTACCTAAGAGAACACAGTTTACGATGATCAAATGGAGGTTCCACACAAAAATGCACACAGATATAAGCCTGTGGAAAGGAAAGGAAAGGAAAGGAAATCCGAGGCTGCATATGACATAGTAGTGTGAGGGTTCTTTAACATCCCCTGCTAATCAGTGCAGAAAAGATACAAGAGACAGGGTTTATGGTTTTTGTATTCATCCAAGAAGACTAGTTAGAATGTCAAACCCTTTGAAGATGTCCACTCAGTGAAAAGACATGACACTTCTGGTTTAAATGCCCCACCCCTGCCAAGCAAGCTTCAAATTCCTTATCTCCAGGGCACAGAAAACAATCAAATTCCCATAGAAACTTTGAATTGAACAGCGCATTACAATTCAGGAGCACCCTACTTGACAAAAGGCTGCCACACAGTTTCTAAATGACATTTTTTTTTTTAAATGTAACCCTTTCTGACAGCAGCTAATTCATCAGTGGATAGAGCTCAAGTCTGAAATATTGTCCAAAAAAATCAGCAGTTGACTACCCTGAACAGCTTAATAACCCCCATTCTACACAGAAGCAAGAATTGTTATTTCATTTTTAAGTTAGTTTTTACCAGCCAAAGCCTTTTTCTCTTCAGCTCGTGCTTTTCTCAGAATCCTCATTTCTTCATCTCTCTCACCAAGAAGCTTGTAGAGTCTTCCATTTTCATCTTTAAGAACCTGTATGATTTATGAGAACGAGTCTGAATTCTTACTGTCATTTACAACACTGTACTCAGTACAATGTCATTCCTGTAAACATGTCAAAGTGAAGGATCAGTCTGATAGAACCTTGGTTTAACCCTTTGGCTCCCAGAAGTGATCAACATGTAACTTCTCTCTATAATATCCATACATGATCCAGCAAACAGGTAATGAGAATCCACAAACTTATCAGGTAGAAGTTGTTACCTTGATTGAACACCAAATTCTCATAACCAATTTACAAGGAAATGTGTATCAGCTAGAGGAGAGAATTCAAAATCAGATCTTGGGAGTTAAAGGTTTAATTACATGCCAAGGACTGGTAACAGGAGTTTACTGTAACAGTTGTGTAGCCACATTAAATTTAATTTTTCTCTTTTTCTGTAAATAATTTCACAAATGAATTTAAAACCTTGTCATTGTCAAAGTAAACATTTTTAAATAAAGTAAAAAAAAAAAAATTCATAGAGAAGGTGTGCAATGCAGAAGCCCATATGGGACAATCTCAAGCTAACTTTGATATCCAAACACATAATATTCTTATAATTCCCAATCTTTAAAATCCCCATTTATAAATCACAAATAAATTATGAGATCCTAAAAGACTTTTTTCAAAAATCGAAATATGAGTTGCAAGCTACATGTAAGAATCCTGGTGAAATCCAGAGAAATTTGTGAAATCCTATTCCAATATTATAGGATAGCAAATCAGTTTTGGATTTTTACTTTATAATATACGCACCCTTATAGTATCCTTCAAGTCCTCAAGTTCCCTGTGCACGGGTGCCTCTTCCCCAAAAAGCACCTTAGAATCAAGCTGAAAAAAAAAAACTTCATTTGTTACACATTTCCTTACTCTGGAATTCTAGCATTAAATAGATACAAATGAAATTCACCGTGTTTTCTCCCTTAACCCTTTAACTCACACTTTCAATAGTTGAAAGAGCATGTTTTGTGAGTGGAGCTGAGCTCAAGCTGTCACTCTATCTATCAATTTGTACAATGTCTGACCATTTCCCAGACTTCCCAGGTCATCACTGTGAAGCAATCCTCAGATATTATATTGTCTGCCCGCTTACTCTAATATCTTTTCAGATACATTGAGTAGAAGGCCAGATTGGTCAGTCAGCAGCCAAGTTTTACAGCGCTAGCTGTCACTCCAAGCAATTCTCATGTTCCTGTGAATTCAGAAGTTGTTCATTCATAACACAAATGCCTTGGACAACTTGTTTTCAGGTTGTCATAAGAAAAAACTTGCATTTTTGTGAGCCACAATTTGACTGGATTTCACCAAACATTATGCTTTGATTCAGATTTTGTTTTAAGTTAGACTAAAAAACTAGAAGCAGAAGTCTGGAGTTGTGAACTTTGATGATTTGACATTTTTGACAGCTTTGGTCTTATTTGACCAATAAGATTATTTGACTATTTTGACAAGGATTCTCATTGTGTGTTTAAGGTAGTATAAAACATGCTGGCCACCCTTTTAGCTCCCTTAGAGAATTATCATTTGTTTTGAAAATAGAAAGTAATGTGGGCGTAATTTGACAGATTCTTCATTAACAATTAAAGAAAGAAGCCTCAAATGTTCTCCAGTCTGTGACCAGAGCACTCAAGAAGTGGGGAGAACACACAACTACATCTCCTGTTTCCCCTCTGTTGTGCTCTAGGCACTTGTTTTGTGCTAAGCACAAAGCAATACAATAGAACAGAGCACCATCACGGGTTCTTTATTTGTTAACCAGTCCCTAATGTCTCCTTAAAATAATTATATCACCGCTGAATCACACTTTTAGGTCATGAAAATAAAAGACATTCATCAAGTTGGTGAGTTGGCAACTAATGAAGCTTTCAAATTCTTCTTGTCAGCCCCCTAGGAAATGCTTGGAGAACACTATGGAGAATATACATACTGATTTACGGGTGCAAAGGGTTAATGGTGTGCTTTTGGAATTGTTTATAATTAGAGATTCAAGTCGCTGCAATCAGTATAAAAAGTAACAGCTCAATTTTTTTTTTCAGAGCAATAGTGTTCCCTTATGTACACATTGCGAGAAAGTTGAGAATGGAACCCCCAGTTGGCACAGTTATTTTATGTATTACTCATACTTTGAACTAAATTAATCAAAACAAAATACACGAACTTTTAAGTCTAAATGATCGCTTGTGCCGTCATGTCCCCAAAAGCTTTCAACCGTTGTAGCTTCTTCATCGTCCCTTGATGTCTTGTCAGAATTCTTGGTCTTTCGCTGTTTTCTGGCGAGAAGTTTTTTCTGTTGTTGTTCCTGTATTAGCTGGAACTGTTGTCGTAACGATTCGGACGCGTCCGTGGTCATGTTTTCAAAAGATTTTTAAGAGTTATTTGTTAAGTTTATCCGACATTTTGTTGCCAACAGACAAAGTTGTGGTACTCAGTCCTCTCTCTGCTTTGACTTTCAAAGTGAGGTTAATCGATCAAAACATGGCGGAGACTTCATATCACCGTTTGTTAGCAGATATACATATATTTTGTTACCCCATTTCCCTTTCTCCGATCTCTTATTTAGGGAGTTCAAAGTGTAATATAAGTCCTTTGATCTGATAAAGGAATGGAAAACTACGAAAAAATTAAGAGTATCGGCCGTGGTGCCTACGGAACTGTATATCTGTGCAGACGAATTTCCGATGGATGTCATGTTATCATCAAACAAATTCCTGTGGAAGAAATGAGTAAAGAGGAGAGAGTGGCCGCTAAAAACGAAGTCCAAGTGCTTTCCATGCTGAAACACCCAAATATAATTGCTTATTTTGAGAGTTTCGTCGAGGAAAAAGCCTTAATGATAGTCATGGAATATGCCCAAGGAGGTACTATGTACACTTTCCTCGAGGAACGCGAGGGAAAGCTTTTGGACGAAGACGAGATAATACGACTTTTCGTACAAATTGTGCTGGCTATTCATCACGTCCACCAACAACACATCCTTCATAGGGATCTTAAGACTCAAAACATTTTATTAAACAAGACAAGGAAAGTAGTAAAGATCGGAGATTTTGGCATCTCAAAAATACTGAGTAGCAAAAGCAAGGCCAACTCCGTGATAGGCACGCCATGTTATATTTCGCCAGAACTGTGCGAGGGCAAACCATATAATCAAAAAAGCGATATTTGGGCTCTTGGATGTGTTTTATACGAACTAGCAACGTTAAAGAAAGCGTTCGAGGCATCCAATCTGCCTGCTCTGGTAATGAAAATTATGAAAGGGAACTTCATTCCGATTTCCGAAAGATACAGTGAAGATTTCAAGAATCTTGTTTTAAACATGCTTCAGGTGGACCCCGCTAAGAGGCCAACTCTACGGCAGATCATGGCACAACCGCTTGTGGTCAATGCTCTGTTTAATCTGCACACTGATGTAGGACGAGTTCCATGCAACAGAGCGCCAAGACCAACAGCAGGAATATCGGGTAAACTTTGAATTTGCATTTTTGTTGTTCATGCGCATCTCAACAACACGGTAACTTCTAACAGCTTTAGTAGGATCCTGAATTGAGAGAAGTGGGAAAGCTTTCCATATTACTACTGTAACAGTATAATTCCATACTATTCTCAGACAAAGCTTTATTCCCAAAGGTTATGTACTGCTCTCACAATTGTTTTCTTTTGTCAAGTAACTGTATGTGTAATGAATTATGGGGCTATAAAAGAATTTGCTAAGTCTTGTCAAGTTATGTTTTCAGGTTTAGGAGAAACAATCCAGTTTCGAACCCTTTCCCAATTGACTGATTCTTTTTAACAAGAAAATAGGTTTGGTGAACTATTTAGGTATGTTAGGGAAGTTAATCAGTACATTGGAATGGGCCGTGGTGATGTGGAATGCAAAAAACACTCATGTAGGCCAATACTAAAAGGCAGTAGTGTTGGGAATGTCTTACCAAAGTACATGACAATGTGCAAAATATTTAACCCCTTGAAAATATGTAGCCTATTCAAAAAGTGTCTGCCTATTTACAGCTGTCATACCTCCAAAAAGTGGACGATCATCAAGTGGCAGCCGTCCCACAGGCAATCAAGTCTATCGCACCAGCTCCACAAACTCAGCCTCTGTAATTCTTGAAGGACTTCCTGATTTTAAGCCAAGAGAACCCCAGTATGTAGTGTACCTGTGGGGAGGTGGCATCAGATCACCAGCTAAACTGACACTTCCACAGCATGACTCTGATGTCGTTCAGGTAGCCACAGGCAGGGCACTGAAAACAGGGGTCTCTAAAAGTGGACGTATGATCATCTGGGATTCCAATAAGAAGGCAGTGGATGTTTCTTCAGATGCAGCAGAGAAGGGGAGATTGTTGGAAGATATGTGGGTACCAAGGTTTCTAGAGGGGCAATCTGGAGTGACAATAGTCGAAGTATCCTGTGGTGATTTCTTTGTGGCTTGTTTGACAGGTAAAACTTTCAATGAACTCCAGACCTTGTGATGTACAGTGGAATTGTTTGAATTTCCATTTGATGTCATGTAGAGGCCACATCCACTTTACTTGTTTGTTATTTGTCTCATAAAAAATGTATTTTTATAATTACTTGTAAATTATCTCTTCTTGCACCAACAGAGGTAAAATTCCTTTATGGTCTATTGAATCTGAATGGCTTCCCCTTTTGATTTTATTGAATTGTTTTATCGTTAAACTCCCAAGATCTGTTTAAAAATTCCCCCATCTAGCTGCTACATTAAGTTAGGAGAATTTGATGTTAGATCAAGATAACAGTTTCTACCTGATAAGTTTGAGTATTCTCATTACCTGTTTGCAGGGTCATGTATGGATATTATAGGGAGATGTTACATGTTAATCGCTGCTGGGAATTAAAGAGCTAAAACTGGCCAAAATTGTTTTTCTGATATTGTTTTTCCTTAATAAAACACTGTTCTAATAGACATAACAGAAGCTTATGACCCTCTAATCAGTATTTGTGTGCTGGGAAAATCATGATCATCACTAGCAAGCCTTTATTTGAGCCTTTTGTTTACTGTCTTTGAGCATTTTGTTTACTTTGCCTAAAATTCTAATGTTCGTTGGAACATATTTGTTTGATGTGATAGCAAAAGCAAAATGCTGTTAATGGTGAGTCACCTATCGATCTCTCTTCCAATAGATCATAAGTAGGAACAATTCAAAATGCGTGTATCATACAGCTTTACTTTTTCATATAATTGTTTCTAGATCGTGGAATCCTCATGACATTTGGGAATGGAATGCATGGTGCATTAGGACATGGAAATCACAATGACGTTGGTCAGGCCAAAATTGTTGAACAATTGATTGGATTTGAAGTTAAGCAGGTGAGAAATATTTTGACACCCGTGAGAAGTAAACCAAAAAAACAAAAGCAAAGAAAAAAAAAACAAAGAAAAACAAAGAACATACAGTTTTAAGTAAACTTGTGGCCCACAGGTGGTAATCTGCTGGTGATCTGTCAGTAAGTCGTTGGTAACAATATTAAAACAGTATTTTTCGCCCAAACTTCAATAGAGCTTAGCTTTCTACCACAAATTGAGTTAGTTGCATCTTTTTTTATCCAAACATTGTCGCTTATTATCACGTCAAGATCTTGTTACGTGTTAGCAAATATGAAATCATTCAGTAATATCGCCCCCGCTTGTTTAATACCATAGGTGTCCTGTGGTGCTTCCCATGTCATGGTCGTCACGGCTGACCGTGAACTCTTCTCGTGGGGACGCGGTGACAACGGGCGTTTGGGGCTCGGAAACCAGCAGTGTTTTTCTCTTCCACAACCTGTGAGTCTTGAACCTGGTTTTACTGCGAAACAGGTCAAATGCGGCGTGGACTGCTCGTTTGTGTTGACATTGAATAACAGGCTGTTAGCCTGCGGTAGTAACAGATGTAACAAACTGGCATTAGACACTGAGGATCAATCCGTGGACGAGTCACATATTCTGAGGCCCATCACTTCCCTGCCTGTGATGGCCGAGCCTGTCAAGGCTGTCACCATGGGAACGTCACACACTGCGGTGCTAACGGACAGCGGTAAATGCCTAACATTCGGTTCCAACTCGTTTGGCCAGCTCGGTTATGAACGCGAGGGAAGTTGCCGGGAGCCCAGAGTTGTTAAAGCTTTGGAAAACAAGAAGCTTACGTTTGTTTCTTGCGGAGATACTTTTACAGTTGCAGTTAGCAATGATGGAGATGTGTTCTCGTGGGGGAAGGGTGCCAGGGGGCGGCTGGGATTGCAGACGGACGAAGACTGTGCCACACCCATGTCTGTTACTTTATCAACGAAATTGAAAGTCCTCTCTGTGTCGTGTAGCCACAGCACTACCTTGATGTGTGGACAGGTTCTTTAAGTAACAAATCTCTTGCGATAGCTTGATTCCGGTGAGGTTCTTTACGTCATCGACGAACACGTGAAGAAGAAAGAAAACGATTGTCCCAAATCAGCCGTTGGTCTTTAGATTTCAGAAACAATGCGCATGCGAGTTTGATCTGTTGTTAGGGATATCCCATATGTAGCATCTTTCTAAATGAAATCAGTTCAGTTGTTCAACCGAATCACATCTAAGACCGTACTTACTAGGATCATTTCTACAGTACGTGTTCCGTCTTTGTATCCTAGCAAAGACAACGCCATCAACCGCGATGACGATGTACAGCGCTCATCTCTGAGCGGGAAGCACGTTGTCGATTCGTGACGACTAGTTGGCGACGATTGATGACCGTTCCTCTCCCTACTCTGGTGGGGGAATTGGAGGAGGTGATCGCATTCTGAGCGGTTGATATTAAACAGACAATAGGATGTTGTATGAGAGGGTAATAGATGGTGGTTGGGCTCTAAGCCTTATACTCTTCTTCAATTACAGTTCACCAAAAGTCAAAACAGATTTATCACAGTGAGTGTGCGTGCATTTTTCTGTAACGGCAATTAACTGAGAGAATGTAACGGCAATTAACTGAGAGAATATTCTAGTGAGGAGAATTTCTTCAATTACAGATCTCCCTAAAGTCAACACAGATTCATCACAGTGAGTGTGCGTGAATTTTTCTGTAACGGCAATAACTGAGAGAATGTGTTGAAGGACGCAGCCATTACTCTTTGCTCTTCTCAGGACCTTTACTTGCGGGGATGTAATATTCTAGTGAGGAGAATTTCAGTAAAACTGATCTCTTAGTGGCTTCATTGGATGACAACCCGATTTGATTTCCAAACAATCGCTCGCAAAAAATCAATCTTGCAATGACGATCAATGGAAAAACCCCGTTTAACACTCCATTTTCCCACCTTATACTGAGGTCTTCCATCTTCAGGCATAATACGATATACTTCACAGAAAAATATGTCATCAACGATGTGAAAAGAAACCACTAATTCGCCGTGACACAGTCTCAAAAGAGTAAGCTGCCTTAAAAACACAACATTTGCTGTTTATAAAAAATGAATAGATAAAAAAATTAATGAACGGAAGCCGCGTATTGTTTGTTATTCAAACTCATTACATAACATTTGTGAACATGAATTTTAATTATTTTCTTTTCCTGATTTTCGTACATAATTTATAAGCGGTGAATTGACCTGCGGTCTTGGCTCGACGGCCGCTCGGCTATTTATGTTCCTTTTACTAAATCGACTTTTCTTTGCAGGAATAAATCGAAACTCCTGTTTGAGCCACGTCGCAACAAAGCTTATTTAGACACTTCAGCGAAGACAATTTTCGATTTAATATTATAGTCATGGACAATCTGCTGTTTGACTACGATCATCCGACTCTCCGTGTTCTCTTCGTTTCGACGATAATCATACTGGGGCTGTTGATTATTAACGATTTGATTCCTTGGGGTCCGCTGGGCCGTCGTACAAGACGCAGAGAAAGCAACCTTGTTCTAATCATCCTCGCAATACTCGCCTTGGCGGTCGAGTGGACAGTTTACATGTTTTTATGAGTCAAAATGAATTAAGCTACTGGAACTTTAGTCTTCGATCTTGCATCAATCGCCTACCGGCCACTCCGATTCGATTTTCTGATGTGTAAATCAGCCCTCGTCATTTCTGCGATTCCAGCTTACATTTCTTCTCGCGGAGTGTTATAACAGATTCACAATATTTCAATTTAGGTAACATTCAAGGGAACAAGGGTAAACTAAGCTGCTGATATTTGAATTTACTTTGTGGACGCTTTCTAGGACGTGGAAAGAGCTGACATTGATTATTCAAACTGAACAAAGAACTCAAAAAACAAACCGTCAGGCAATAATTGTAGAGACTGATCTAGGAAAGAGCCAAAGAAAGATCGACCAGGGAGTAAAAGATGGTTTCCAGCTGACTATACCATGTGGACGATTTGAATATTTAAATTGCTGTCATTTTTCGTCACATTTGACTTGCAAATAAAGAACTGAATTCACATATAGTGAAATCACGCAGCTCCGTCCAAGGGGGTATTCCATCCTAACAGCGCGATTACACCTAGGTTGCCTCTTGTGGCTTTGCATATGTTTACATGACCTCTTCAGAAAATTTTACGTCGCGCTAAGTCATTCTGCTTGCGTTCCAAGCGGGAGTGTCATTCTACTGTAAAATCTCACAATGATACCATGCGATACGGTAAATGGTTGGAACGTTAACCCAGGAGTAACATTTGATCGTATAGTCTTGATATGGTACCATACTCTTATGCTCTCCACTTGAGAAAAAAATCATAATTTATTTGAATAATACGTATGGATGTTCCTCAGAACAATATGACTGACTAGTCATGTGACATTTTGTGGGCAACACAACCCAACAGCATTTTGCATTTCCCAGCCTGCTTGCAAGCAGTAGTTTGTGTCTTCAATCGGGAGATTCAGCGCGGTGAATATTCGGTCGCCACTCGTCACAAGTCTTCCACTCGCCCAATATGGCCACCGAATATTAGCCGCCCAGAATCATCTCGCGCTTGAAAACACAAACTACCGCTTGCGAGCAGGCTATGTATTTACGGATCGCCTCGAGAGTTGGTATTTTGTTTAGGATTTTCATAAGAGTATCAATAATCTTGTATGCAGCAGGACAAAAAATGTGGAATTGCTTAGACTTGTAATAATTACATAGAGGTAAAATAAATCCCCTTTTTCGTCTTGCCGCGTTAAGTTTATGAGGCTGATTGTGACCAACGGGCAGCAACGAGGTCATCATCTTTTTTCATCGATCGCCTTGCAGTCACCTAATCAGCAGCACCGTCGCTTTTTCTTTTTCTCCTAAATTTTCGGAGCACCCCTGGTAATCGAGATTTCCTTTTGGTGGGCTGTGAGTCACATTTAACGTTTGTTCTCAAATCGAGGTATTCGAGGGGCAACGCGCTCAATTCAGACATCTCCGGGAACCGGAATGGGTCGCTGGAACCACACTGACCACTTGCTTCCGTGACAACAAGGTTGTTTATCTGCATGTAAAGATCCCGATTGAATGTTGAATTATTATCTCTAGGTTTGAGAGATCTAAAAGATTCTTTTTTGGTTGTAGTGGTCGAATTTTTCATTGAGTTTCCTCGACAGGGTTTGCCTGATATTCTCCCGTTTTTTCCTTGAGGTCTACGTTCCTGCGCATCTGAAATATTTTTATCACCACAATAAGACTCATTCTCTGCTGTCCTTTGAGTCCCTCTGAATGAAATCCTTTGTCTGAAAGCTTTCCATGTAGTAATTTTCGATGAAAAAGACGAATTCGATGCAGTTTCTTGGGTATCCGTCGTTTTATCATCTTTGTCACGATTATCGACTCCCATCCAAGTTGTTCTCCTCATAAAATTTTCATTCAGCCGAGCACATGTTGCGAAGCTCTGTAGAGCCTGGGCGCCAGTTTGTCTTTGTAAAAAACTGTCTTTGGTCTCGGAGAAAGCTAAGACAACATGATCGTTTGAGGTTTCAACTGGCTCGTCTTCAGAAATCTCGTGTATGGTACACTGCCCGTTGGCGCACTTGTCCTCAGAACGGCCTTCTCTGGCTGTGGGTAAAACTGCGGGCACAATTTTGTTTCTTCTGAACCACTACCTGATTCCGCGGTCCCTAACTCCATTTACATCATAATCTTTCTGTCTTGTGCTTTTGCTGTGAGACATACACTGAGATCTCCGGCGATATTCCTCATCTTTTACCACAATCGTATCAAGTTGTTGGACTTGCGTTTCACGTTCGTTATCTCGATGATTAAAAGCTTCCATTAACCCGCACGTGATAAAACACAAGAAATAAGAGAGCTTTGATGAAAGCATGCTGTTAGACTTCTCAGTATCTTTTGGTAAATCTCAAGTGCATATATTTTGTTTTAAATGTGGCAATAGATCCATTACATGCGTCATAGTCAGGCTTACATCACCATTCCTTTCGCGCGCAAAAGATTCGAGGATACAACTTATTTTTAAACGATACAACTTTTATAGTCTAGTAGACTACAGTTTCCTGCCATTAAGTCCAAAACCTGTATCCTCTAATATAAATCAACGAGAAATTACATCGAAATCTTGAAATCTTCAATTCACTCTTGGTTCTTTCCTCTATTCCGAAGTTTTAGCCTTAGTTGACAAAAGATTTTTCTCTCTGGGTGTTGATCAGCCCTTTATATCTTTTGGATATTTTCAAATTTTTACGTTGTTCTTTATTTGCATACTCCTTAATTGGCCCGGGGGCATTACGAGAGAAGAACGTCCTCGTGCTTGAACCGATCAGAGCATGCGCTATATCAGCCTCGTGCTCAGTCACGGAGTAAAGAAAACTACTAAAAAAATATCAACTGCCCAGCTCTCATAAAAAAAAAAAAACACAATTAAACATCAGGCGCCAAAGTATGCTTTTTTTGCAGATATTATCTATTCCGAGAAGCGAAGAGTACGATAACATGTTACAACTCAACGTTAGACGGTAAAGGAAACTTACACCGGCATCAGCATGATCACTTTTTTGGAACTTAGTCCCAAATTTCACTTAGACATGTGGCTGCTGCAGCCGTGAAAATGTAGTTTAACTATGAAAAAAGATGAACAATATTCTTCCAGCTGGTGCGTATTTTACCTCGATCATGTATATGTCCGGGTAAATACTAAAACATAATTCCATAATTCAATTTGTATCTACCTAAACTGATAATCGAATATCCACAACTTAAACAGTTTATAAAAGAGTTATTTGTATTTTTAAGATAAGTTATAAATTTCGGTTGCCGTCCTGGAGAAAGATTTATCTTCGGGCGAGGCCAACAACGAGCAAAAAAAACGTATCTACTTTGAAACCACTTCAGTAGTTGAAAAAAAGGAAGACTTTGCATTAGTTAGTGGGGACCACGTAACAAAGAAGTTTCATCAATGTTATTAGTGATTTTCCACCTTCAACGTTGTCTATGTGCTCTCAACGGCTTGCATCTTTGATATTGATACCGGCGACATACAACCCCCTTTGTACTCAATGTACACAAGTCCGTGTCGACAACAGATTCTTTTATTCGGGTAAGAAACACCATTTGGGAAAGGAGAGCATCGATCCATACGGTGATCGAAAAGCGTGGCAACATTTTTGGTTGTCGCGAAAGTAGTTTTTATTGGAGCATTTAATCAGCTGGAAATCTACTGTCTAAGATGCCTGAAATGAAAATACAAATAGTGGGTAATTTATGATAGCTGGGTTATATACACATTTTGATTGGTTCTTACTTATGATCTGTTGGAGGATAGACGTATATCACTATTAACAACAATTTTTTTTTTCTTTTTTATCATATTAAACAAATAGATTCCATATTTGCGAAAGTCTGAACATATCTCTCTCTAACCGAGTTCGCGGGCCGTACTGGTGAGTTACGGGGTGGATTGGATACGCAGGAATTTATGGTCCCGGGCACGCGAAACGCACGGGTCATAAATCGAGTGGAAACTTCATCATCTCATTAGAGAAAGGGAAGGAAACTCAGAAAGAGATTATAAGGAGAAAGAGAAGGTGGCTTCTGGTCCAGGCCTAGGGACATATCAATTTTACTGAAGTTATTAATGGATAGTTATAGCCGGACCACCCCATACATGTACTGACATGTAAGACTAACTATTCATTGTAAAAATTAGGTTAAGGAATTAGTACTGGTTACGTTGATAAAACACGGAGTAAAATTCAACCATAACAACCAAACATTACGAATCCGTTTTTCCTTGTACAAACCTTCCTAAAATCAAAACCATTGTCACAAAATACTACTATATTCTGATCCAAATGCTGCGAGGCGAGAGTTACGTTTCGCTAAATCCGCAAAGAATGTTACTACAATTGTTTACTTGGACATGTAAATCATAGTTAGCATAGGGGACCCTCCACTAACTATGTGTAAATGCATAATGGTAAATATTTGTCCTCTTGCAGTGAGCCTTGGTCGCCTGTATGTAAAACTGGTGCATCGGGGAACAGTAATAAGATTTGTTCCCCTAATATCACACCGACTATGGCAATAAGAAGCTACATTTGGAAACCACAAATGCTTTCCGTCCCAAGCTAAAAATAAATTAACGAAAATCGACCAGTTTTGGCTAACGCCCTGATTTTTCGTCTCTGTCCCCTTAAATTCTCTTGCTACTACATAACAGTGCTTACAGAAGAGCAATCACTGTCCTCTTTCGAAAAAAAGGGTGACCGCGAAATAAAGGTAAAATTACAATGATTAATGGGAAACAAATTCGGGACTTTGGCAACCGACCGCTAAATACAAGGTGACTGGTTAATAGGGTGCCGCTTATACAGATTAGACTGTAGCTGTAAATAAGAATTCTCCTTGTCATAAATGTTGCTTTAATTGTGCATGAATGGAATAGACCTTTTTACTTTGGGCGTTTATTTAGACCATAATGATATTCACCACATTACTTTCACTACGAATAATCACATTCATTTTAAATTACTCTTTCAGCTTATAATCTGGTCGTATGGGCAGAAAGGCAATTTGTCTGCGCATGTTCAGTAAATTTTTGTTTGAAGCGAATAACAGCTGCTACGCGCCTGTGTGGGTTTCCCGCGAAAGAAGTGGAGGAAAATGCGTCGGAAAACGACAGTAGAACGAGTACATGAGACAACTTTTCTCGTCGTTTTTTCCTCTGAAACTTAGATGGGAGCGTCCTAGTCTTAATATGGTTGTGTGGTGTGTGAAAAGAAGGCACAATCGATTGATTTTCCAAAAGCAAAAGGGTGTACAAACGAGTTCAATTCGATTCCTCTTAATAATTGTTGGTGCGATCAATGTAGATGATCTTATTTGTGAATGATACAGGAGGCCTGTCGAAAAGCACAGATTTAAGCAGGAAAAAAAACAGGAAAACAGGGTAAATGATCCCAAAATTCGTTTCCACAATTTTCCGAGTGATGCAGCGATTCGACGAGCTTGGATTCATGCTGTTGGAAGGACATCCTTGCCCAAAGACTCACGTCTGTGTTCAAAGCACTTCGAACAGCACTGCTGTGAGGAGTCTTACCCCTTTCCTGTTTTTAACTTGAATACTACACTCAAAAGCAACGTAATGCGGCATTTTGCTACCAATTTTACCGAGGGCAAGGGGATCGAGCAACCATTTTCCGTCATCACCCCAGAAAACCTTGCGCGCCGATGAAAATGGCGGTCGCGGGACGTTCGAACTGGTAATGAAGGCCTCCGTTTGAGAGGGAAAAACTAACGCCTGGGCGGAGTGTAGGGGTCTTCAGCAGACATGCCTTTAATGCTATAAGGTCATTTAAGTGTCATGAATTGTCCCCACGCTATTATGGGCGCGACTGGGCAACCGGAAAGGACTAAAACAAGGAGGACTGTAACAGCGCCCGTGCGCTTTAATTTCTGCAGTATTTTTATATTCCCTTTTTTAGCCTCTACAGCATTTTACGTCTCGATGACTCTCCGCTAGTTATCACGTGACTTTCGCTTATATGCCGCAAAACACTTATGTAACTTCCATAAGGCTCACAGAAATTCGACGGGCAACTTCAAAAGAACTTTGAGTAACCTTTAGTTACATTAGGGAACTTCCGGCTATCGCTGCTTAACTCAGAACCTATAAGAGCGTTCGCCCCAACACGTCCTACCAAACAGGTCGCTGTAAGAGTTGGCACAATAAATCTAAGCCTTGTGGAAACTGTGAGTCCTTAGTTCCTTTTTCAGTTTCACGGATCTCTCCGCCACAGGAGCTGACGCCGCTACAGTCGAATTTCTCTACAGTTCAAATCAAGTCAAGCAAGCTCACCCGAGCGAGAAGAGTAGTCCACCCTTGGAAACTATTGAGCAGTCAACCGAGGACACAAAGTAAGTCCGTTCCTTTACTATCGTAACCAAAATAAAAAAAGGCAGAAGGGCAAATGCTCGTCAGAACGAACAATGGAGCGCTGTCGATCTACCTAAAGAAAAGTCAGGTTCCTCTGGAGAACAACGCTTAAATTGTAGTAAAACTCTGCAACTAAAGAAGATCAAAGAAAACCTCTGCAGGCGACGAGGAGAAAATTAACCTTGCATTTATTTAAATTAGTTACTGGTAGTAACGGAGTTTTAGAAAGCAAAGAGTGTCCCTGTCTCATCACCTCGTCGAACTTATCGCCCAAATACTTGAAGTACCACGTCATGAGCCACCCACAAAGCAACGAACAAAAGACAAAACTCGGCGCTTTGCCAGACGAAACTAGCGATGCTGGCTTTGGCGAAAATTCAGAAAACTTTGCGCAGAGTAAAGACGCAATCGCCCCCGATCAAGCAGAAGGTTTAAAAATTTATGAAAAAAGCGAACCGTCGGAAACACGTTCTCGGACTATGACAAAAAGGGGTTTCGAGTTCCATTCCGCGGTAAAGGAAAGTTCTGCTAAAACCGCAAACAAGAACTTTCACGCAAACGTCACCGCGTTCCACACATACCTCGCTGGCTCAACAGACCGAGATCAAATAGACAGAAAGGTCAGAGATTTGATTACACTCGCGGAAAAAACTGAATTCGAGTTGAACAGTTGGTTAGACCTAGCGAAAAATACCCCCCAAGCAGAGCTGATAACCGAATTACCTTCAACCGTAAAAGATTCAATTCAAGGAGTACAAAGCGCGGCGTTAAACAAAGTGTTGACATTAGGCAAAGTTGAGACCTTGTCTGTAGGATCAAAATCGTCACGCAAGTCAAGACATTCGATAAGGTCATGCACATCCGGTTCATCGCACCCATCAAAAGAAACTTTGATTAATGTGAAAGCAAAACGCGTAGCGCTGGAGCAGAAATTAAAATTCAGCGATAAAATCGAAGAGCAACAAAAGATTTTAAATAAACTGAGACTGCAACAACAACTAAGCGAAACTTTGGCAAAGGAAGCCGTTTTTGAAGAGGCGCTAAAAGAACAAAATCCGTTCGATTTTGACGACATAGATCAATTACCCAAAGAAACGATTATTGATCGGTTTGTAAACCAAGGAGAATTTGTTCCCACTCACCTGACGTCCACCGGAAGTTTGTTGTCGCCTCTAAATAAGAACGAAGGATTGCCAGTCAAGTCCTTCGCCGACACAGGACATCTACCTCACATAGGACCTTCAGCCACCAGGGCCCCAACTGACACAGGACTCTTGGCTCCACCCCATCTTGCCACAGACTATCCAACAACATCTCAGCTTCCGACATTCTCCGCAAACACAGGCGGCCTAATTACCTCGCAGTCCTTTGTTTTGAGTACTTCAAACAGCCTGGCAGCTCCTAAGACAGCCGTTAACGCCAGTACCCCATTCACGCCTTTACCTCAAGTACCCCCGACTCCTCATCCTCGCGATTTTCCGCCCGTTACTACCAGCCTAAGGGCTGTCCATCCGTCCGCCTCTGACCTACGTCTGTGCGCCGATCCCTTCACCCCTGCGAGTTCTCCGGCCACTATGTACCGAGAGATCAAGCCAACTCCGCATGTTCAAGGTGAAAATCGCACTCCCCCAAATTCAGACTCTGTCTTCCAAATTGCCGAGGCTTTGGCTAAGGTAACTCAGCTGCAATGGCTCCCGCAAGCCAAGCCGGACGTTTTCACTGGTAACGAGACAGACACCAAATTCTTTGTTTGGGAAACAGCTTTCGACGCTCTAATCGACTCCGCACCGATTAGCGCTCAAAAGAAACTATATCTCCTCTATCAGCATTTGGATGGAAAGGCGAAGAAAGTTGTTGAGCACACTTTTAAGGCGATTGAGTCCAT